TATAACATAGGGTCAACATACGTGCCATTTTCCCAGGACGCGGCCTGGCCAGGATTTCTATATTGCCTAAAATATCTAGGTTTTGGCTTTGTTTGCGTGTGCAGACCGATGATCGGTCTGCACACGCAAACAAAGCCAAAACCTAGATATTTTAGGCAATATAGAAATCCTGGCCAGGCCGCGTCCTGGGAAAATGGCACGTATGGTCACCCTATGTTATACAGATACAATGAGATTAGAAACGAGTAATCATTCTAGTTCAGCAAGAAATGTACACAGGTGTCCTGCTAGAAACCTTATGAAACTGTTTTAGTTCATGTTTATTTACACAAACTTTAAAGGCTTGCCATTTACTGAGATTCTGATAATTAGTGTGTCTAGGGAAAGTAAAATGCAATACCATTTCACTTGAAACCAAACTCCAAAAACCTAAAGTGATGGTGTTGATTAACCAGTAGTTAATCTTAGCATTTGGGCATACATGGGATAAATTTAGCACGTTAAGAGTATGCTTACCTTATACTGTTGCTGAAAGGGGAGATGCAGACATTTGTGGCATTGTACTTCTCAAACCAAAGCAGCAATTCACGCTAGAGAAAATAGAACATTTAGTGGTGGCTGCTGCCCCCTAGAGGCCATAAGTAACTTCACTGAAAAGTTTGCATGCACCCTACCTCAGTCATATTGCACGGCAAGCCTGTAATGCACAAGAGGGTACTTTGGTTTGATTCATCTTCATCAGTCCCTGTGAAAGAGTAGCAAAGATTAGAGTCATTAATTCAATCAGCCAACAGCAATGAGGCGCTTTGTTCCAGAACAGTATTTCAGTCTTACAACCATTTTCAAACAGCAGTTATATAACAGCACTTTCATATTTTGCAGTCCATACTTTCCCTCCTTTCATTCAGTTTCTCCATCTTTCCATCCTGATTTGGAGACCCAAGTTCCTCTTCTGCATCAAACCAAGCCTCGCTGCTATTTGGATCCTTGATGACACCTACCATAGCATGCATTTAAAACAGTTGAAAAATTATTCCCATTTATTTATTTCTTCGATTTGAGATTCATACCAGGGTTCTTCTCAGCGGAAGCTCCCGGCTGCTTGTGTAAAAAGACCAGAGCTTTATCTCGCTTGTTGCTGTCACCTTTTGCTTCATCCTATTCAGAGGACAAATACTGACTATTCTAAATGTAACAAACTCATATTTTAGGTAC